CATTGTTATTTTTTCTCATTGTTTGAGTTTTGTTTTTTAGCCGAAGATCACGAGCAGCAAATTTATTTAAAGATTTTGGAAAATAGAACATTTCAAATTCATGTGGGCGAATGATTGCAATATGTCGGATTTTTATTTGTGATTTACCATCGAATACGTTGTATATTCACAATAATAAATGTAGGAAATAATTAAAGCCTATTTTTAGTCGTTTACAAAATGTTCGCCTAAAAGTATGTGAACTTTTTCATGTTAAACGACTTGAAATAAATTGTTTTTACTCCAGGGATGCGAAATGAAATTATTCAAATTGTACTGGCTTTCAATAAAAAGTGTACTTTTTTCAGTCCGATTGTACTTTTTATATATTTTTTAATAAAATTATTAAAATTTTATTGTTATTAACAATTAATAAAAACATACATAAAAAAATTAATTAAGATTTGAAGCAGTCGAATCATGTATTCTGTTCCTTTCTTTGGTTTTAATTATATTTTGATATGAAAATACTCTTTCCACATCTGTAGATGAATGTGGAACATATAATAACCCTCTAAAAAGTTGTGATATATAAGGAAACATATCTTTGTTTAGTTCATTTTTGACTTCAGCCACCTTTGACCAACAACTGCATGTATTGTCGCTTTTGAAAGACTTAATAATTTCTACATACATTCTGGCATCCTCAGACTGCATTTCTAATTTGATATTATTTATAATTTTTGTACATATTGCAAGAACAAAACCAGTAAGGAAAGTAGTAATGTCGGACGGGGCCGACTATATGATGCCCTTCACCACTTTCAACAGATGAATCCTAACAGACGTCGCATTTTTGAAGGATCTGTAAAATGAAATTGGATCCATAAACATGTCATTCTGCAACCTATACTAAATTTTTCATTTGGTCAGATATAGAGTTGCTTCTTACAATGGGATAAAATTATGTAAATCAATTTAAAGCAAATATCAATCGGACACCCTTTGATTATTTGAATAAATATCTGATAAACCTGAGGAGTTTGGTGTACCATTTACTTAAAATCGGACGAAAATATATATAAAAGCTATATCGAAATCCAAACCGATTTCATCGAAACTTGTCTCAGGTATTGAGTTCTTGATGCATCATTTACTTAAAATCGGGAGGAAATATATATGGTAGCTCTATCCAAATTTGAACTGATTTTAACAACAACTTCCACATGCTAGGTTATATTAACTTCAGTACGTTGCGCAAAATTTTGTGTCAATCGGCCTAATGTTGGTCTTTGGTGTACCATCTAATTAAAATCGGACTAAAATATATATGGGAGCTATATTTAAATTGGAACAGATTCCTACAAAACTTGGCAGACGTTATGCAATATTAATTTCAGTACGTTGTGCAAAATTTTGTAGCAAACGGCCTAACTTTGTGTCTTTTGTGCACCTTTAACACACATCATTTTAGACTTTTTTCAGTACGCTATGCCAAATTTCGTGCAAATCGAAAGATATATGGGACTTTGGTACACCATTTACATAAAATCGGACGAATATATACAGGGATGGTCCGTGCGACGAGTTTTTAGGTTTTCGACTGTCAAAAAGGTGTAAACGTCGAAAACGTCATATACCTGTATAAATGTTGTAAACGTCATTTATTTGAATATTATTACCATACACAGTTATTTTCATAAATATACATTATTTTTACATATATCTGAATATTCTTTACTAGAACTGATAAAAAATTCTAAACTTTTTGGAGAAGAAAATTTTGAAATTTTATAAGGATTTGATTAAAACATAAGTAATTTGCAAATTGTTTAATGGGAATGGTAATTTTGTCAAAAACCTAATGGTTTTGGGTGAGTTTCCGACGTTTTTGACGTATGTATTATACGTCGGAAATGTATGTCATTTACGCCACTGTTTCTGACGGTCCATCTCTGAATATATACATGAGAGCTATATCTAAATCTGGACCGATTTTCAGGAAACTTAACACACATCATTCTAGACCCGATTTACCGGACCGTTTACATTAAATCGGACGAAACTATATATGTGAGCTATATCTAAATCTGAACCGATTTTTCCTATTTTCAAATAAGTGACCTGTGCCAAATTTCATCCAATTCGGATCATAAATGCGACCTGTACTTTGTTTACAATTTAACATGGACAGACAGACGGACGGACATGCATAAATCGACTTAGAAAGTGATTCTATGCATATTCTCAAAAGGAACCATGTGTCCATCTCGTTTCCTTTTGCCTGTTACAAACATACACACAAAGACATAATACCCTGTACCACAGTGTGGTTAGAAAATTCTGAAATAATAGAATTGAGCCTTAACTTTTGGGAATCAGCTTCGAAATCATTGAGTGTAAAATAATATTGAAGTTATTTCCACTGCGCCAAAATTGTTTCAATAACTTCTTGACGTGAAAGCCATCGAGTTGTTGAGTATTTAAAAACAACATGAATATCTGTACCGATATATTCCTGAAACAATGAAAAATCATCTCTCTCATAGAACTGTTACAAAAATAATAATTAATATCTTTACTGAATTTGTCAATCTGATCGGGAATACTGAATTCTGAATTGGCATAGGACACTACGTTTGAACTATGGGAAATTCATCCATTCGTAACGACAACGGGGGATGGCAATCCATTTCATATTGTATGCTTAAGCACTTATAATACTTTTAAGTGAGAATAGTTTGATACAATTTAGAAATAGTGCTAAATATGTCATTGGGGTGCTATTGTATTTTTTACTTCCAAATAGTGCTAAAATTAGTACAATGGTACCAACTTTTGCATCCCAGTTTTACTCACTTAGCGCCACGGTACTTTTAAAAGAACACAAAAAATGCCAACTTTACTGTTAGAGAAAACAACCGTTAATACGGAAAATTTCTATAAAGTCTTTAGGTTTTCAAATTATATATTAAACTTTGAAATAATAATCTGTGGCGTCATTTGGGTTAAGGGGACCCCCCCCCCATTCTCGGGGTCAAAATTTTTGTTGATATAATTCGAATCTACACTGATTAAAGAATGTCTCTACAAAATTTCAAGTGAAAATCTCAAGAACTCTTGAAGATATAGCCGATTTATTGTGTCAGCATCAAGTGGGCTTCTCAAACTTTAAACGCGTTTTTCTCTAAACATTTTTTTGCGAATGGTTCCAATCGGTTCCAAATTTTGCAACGTTTCTCTGGGAGTGTATAGCTCTCGTATGAACTAGGATAAAGCCAATCGGTGAAGATCTTCCTTTTTTTTAACTTGGTTTTTGGTAAAAAATCGGCGATTTTCCAAAAATATTTTTTCAAAGGTCCACCATTTTGTTAATTTTAGAGCGAAGTCAATAATCCTAGTTCATACGAGAGCCAGACATGTACTCTTTCTAACACCGTTGGAATTTTCGGATTCCGATGTTCCAATGAGGAGTTATCATGCCCGCCAACAAAAATAAGGACTTTTCTTTAATTACAAAAAACAACAACAAAACAATAACAAAATTTTTTTGTAAATTATTTTTCTTCTCTTTTAAATCTTCATATATATATATATATATATATATATACAGTGGCTCCATCGCATAATCGGACAAAAGTTTTTCTAATATAAATGTATTCTGAACATTAAAAAAGAGTTAAACATATATTTTTTTATATTGGTAGTTTTCATTATATTAAGGTTCTGTTTACTGACGAAAGCAAATTTAATTTGCACGGATCAGATGGAAAGATGTATGTGTGGCGTAAGCCAAATGCTGAATTTAATCATAAGAATACAAAAGCCACTGTTAATCACGGAGGAGGTTCTGTTATGGTTTGGGGCTGTATGTCGAGTGCGGGATTAGGCAATTTGCATTTTATTGATGGTAAAATGGACAAATTTGTCTACCTCAAAATTTTAAAACAAAATGTAAAGCAAAGTGCAGACAAATTGGGTATCGCGAACAACTTTGCCTTTTATCAAGACAACGATCCCAAGCACACATCAGGTGTTGCAAAGCTTTGGTTGATCCATAACTGCCCCAAACTTATACAAACACCTGCACAGAGCCCAGACCTTAACGTAATTGAGCATATTTGGGAAGAATTAACTAGGAGAGTGTATGAGAAAAAATTTAACTCCTTAGTACAGCTTAAGGATGGCTTTACTGAAATCGTGGAACTCTATAGAGCAGGAGGTATGCCAGAATTTGGTCAAATCAATACCGAAACGTTTACAGGCCGTTCTGGACAACAAAGGATATGCAACTAAATATTAATTTCTCGATTTTTTGCATTTTTTAACATTGATACTTTGCTTTGTCCGATTTTGCGTTGAACACAATAAATTGAGTTAATTTTGTTTTTCTGGCGAAGTTTACAGTTATCACTAGGAAAGTTGTTGTTTTTTGTATTGTTCAGAAATAAAAGTAAGTAATGTGTAAATAAAAGTGAAAAAAACTACACATTTAGACAATTTCTTTGAAATGTATAGCATTATTATATCTGACAACCACATGTCCGATTATTCGATGGAGCCACTGTATATATGTGCAAAGTTACAAACCTTAACAAGCATTGGTATTGATTTACCAACCCATTGAAAATCTTGAAAAATTAAAATCGAGAATGGGTGGGGTTCCCTTAATGCATTCGTCAGTACTTAGTTCCATTGCGTATAAAATCTAATAATGTTATCCGTCAAATTTTTCAACAAATTAGGCAAAAAATATATGGTAAGTAATAGCCATTGATTGGTGTAACAATTGTTGTGTAAATTTCAGTTTTTTGCTATTCAATGTTTTTGGTCAATGTTATTAAAACAGATAGCTGATTCTGATATTTTGAATTTTTATCAGTTTATTTTTTGGTTTTATATTTATAATGTTTTGTGAATTACATACAAAAAGGTTTTTATTGTTTTAATCCTACATACAAACAACAGCTGCAATAAACATACCATAATTACATAAAATATTACTGTATTCCAATACTTACATCCTGGCTGTATTCCTTTGGAACGTATTGTGCGATATGGTTGACGAGCACCAGGATCAATTTTACCATACATTGTCCGATCCATGTTTTATTATTATTTATTTTTTTTTTAATTTATTATTATTTTGAATATGCAAATATTTTAGTTTATTTTTTTTCAAATCATATAAATTACAAATATTTACTGAAATTAGAGATTTATTTGACAACTTATTTATGCAGATAAGATAGAATCTTATAATCTCAGGTATTAAAATTGCCGCAATGTGTCGTCGTTTATGTGACATGATTTGATGTATCACACGTGTGCGTGTGAATGCTATGCCTCCATTATGCGAAGATATGCCACCGGTTGTCAATGAACACGTTCGTTGGAAATGATAAATTACGATTGTGTCAGTCTCTGGTACAATTTTATATAATATATATATATATATGGGAATATAGTGTACTATATAGCATTTGGTTCTCAAAATTTTTGCAAGACAAATTTAGCAGAGTAAAAATTGTAATCAGGAATAATTGGCTGTAATATTGATTCTAATAGATGTTCATCTATTTTTAACAAGTTTTTAGTTCTATTCGTACATATTTATTTTTTTAATTTTTTTCGGACCTATATGGGTCAATGTTTTGGCCAAAATGTTGTATATCTGATTCTCAAGAAAATAAAAATACAAAAATATCAACATTGTTCTACATTTTTATACATTTGAAACAAAAATATTTACGCAGACTATTTGAATTGTGGTCCCAATTCAAATAATAAATAAATGATATAAACATCAATAATATCGTAATCATCAGCATGGGATTAAGCAAGCAGACACTTTCTTATGTTGGCATCTTCTAGTTGATACATTCAAAAAATGGGGCGGACAGAGAACAAGAAAAATATTAGTTTTGCTACGTTTCGGAATTATGATGATTAACATCCAAATCACATCGAATCATGTCATGTGTCATGTTAACCTTTACTTTTTGTCTCACTTTTTTCTGGTCACATGAAAAATCCACAATAGTATTTTCCATTCGATGAATAACGGTGTTAAATGTGTCATCTAATATGATTTCAGAATATCAACAAAAATCTTTTTTATAAGTAATATTAATATACAAATAAAAAAAAACAGCAATAATCATACAGTAAGCACCAAAATAAAGTTTTCAGTTTCCAATTTATTTTATTTACTATGAATTGAATTTTATTTTATATAAATATTTCATTAATGATGTTGGACACATCAGATTTAAACAAATAAAAAAGAATTAAGATTGACAAAGACGAATTCAAGATTTGTATGCACAGCCTCCCGCCAATGCTGCTTATTTAAAGCATCCTCCTTGAGTATTGAAAATAAAATAAAGAATTTCAGGAATTTGTTTCAAAGCGTCGTCATTTTTTACAACTTTGAGAAAATTCTCAGTTTACCTTTAGCAAATTACAGATACCTATTTCAGAATTTCAGAAATGCTCGAACACACGCATTTCTGAAATTGTAACGGTATCTGTTATTCGTGTCTTTGAATCCCTAAATTTTAACTGATAATCATCAAATCATTCATAGCCAATGTACGTTTCAATTACACTAAGACGGGGAGAAGTAATTTTCATACATTTGACCCAAAGTTTTTTTTCCGAACGTTCCCATGATGAAATATGAGAAGAGATAAAACCCAGCTACATTTGACCCAAAGTTCATGTAGAATTTTAACATGATCTATACATGACCAATGATCAAAATTTATTGTGGACACACACTTTTGACGGTGGTGGACCTGGTATTTCTAACTCTAGTGCGTATATATAGCATTGGCGTATGCTATATTTTTGCACATTGCTATAATCATAAATAAATAACAAATAAATCACGTACTCTGCTGCTATGCTTATCACAAAACATTCCAAGCATTTGCATCATCTGCCGAAGAAGAGACACATGTTAATTAGCAACCAGTTATTTATCTCCAACAATAGGCAACACAGTAGCAGCAACAACAATTGTTTATTCGAATATTTAGTATCAAAAAAATATACACACCTTGAACTCACTCGAGCAAGGCACAAGAAAATAAAATGATTTGCCGGCAGTGACGTTATGTTTACAAATCAAACATTGTTCGATTTTATTTTAAAGTTCAGCGGAAAGAAAAAGTAATGTTGTTGCCAACAATTTTCCACTGCCGCAGCAGTGGCAAGCAAGCAATGAATGGCGTTCGCTTTTCAGCATATTTCGTAAATAAGCAATCTATTCTGACATAGACATTTGTTTGGGTCTGAACGCCCGCCCGCCCCGGAATATTGGCATAGAATTTTCCTCTGACGTCATTTCTTAGCAAAAGAAAAACAAAATAAAAGTAGTTCAGTGAATACGTTTGTGAACTAAATTAACATATCGACACGCTTCATTCATATTAAACAGTAAAAATGCCATAAATTCTAATAATTTCATTTGTTTACAAGTTAATGAAATAAAAACAACAACCACAACTGCCATAAGAAACCACGGTGACTAATTTTGTTTAGACTGAAAACAAATTTTGTTTGGCGAAAATGCAAAAGAAATTGGCATTATTATTGGGCGATCACAGCTGTCTGTCGATAGTTGTTATCGCACATGCCGATACGCGCACACACACACAAATATATATCAAAAAGTCCCCAACTGAAACGCATTGCTCAGAACATTTGAAGGCAAATCAAATTTGTTTCGATTTCAATTAAAATAAAAGCCAAGCGAAAGGCGAGCATGAAAAAAATTAGAAAACGAAATGAATCTAAAAAAGAAGAAGGGTTATTTATTTGGCAAAACAATCAGGAAGTACTGCAACCGCATCTAATGTCGCAGAAGTTGCACAGTGGATATAAAGGTTAAATACAACGACACACAAACATTGGTCCATTTCATTTAATTCATCCAATGTAATAAAAAATAGTATTTTTTTATTTAACTAGAACTATAAACTAAAATTGTAAATTTTATGTATGCAATCATGGCATAACTATACAAGGTAGTCTTATTTAAGAAATTAATAATGGTAACCCTTCTTAATTTGGAATTCATATATCAATTTCAAATAAAATGAAAAATAAATTTCATAAAATGTTACGCATGGCAATTGGCAAATTTTCAACAAATTAAAAAACTATTTGTTCTAAAGTTCCACATTGTTCTCAATATTTCACTAAGAATGTTTAAATTTATATTTATAGGTTTTATAGGCAGGGAATCTTAAAAATATTAAGAAATATAAGTGATTCAAAAATGTTAGCCACTGGACACAAGATTTGCGTACATTTCGAATGAAGATATTTTCGTTTAAATTTTGAAAGCTGATTGTTGTCAAAAGCAAATTTATGAAAAAATTGGTAACATATGACAGCATGAGACTACCTGTATAGTTATGCCATGTCTGCAATGTATATACATTTATTTAGAGGTATCCCTTATGCCATGTTCTGACGGACATTCGAACAACGTAGTTCGCTCTCAGAATTATGTACATGAATTAACCCGTTCATACAACACTATTCTTAATTCATGTCTTCAGAGTTTTTAATTTCAAACTTTTTGTTTCTTATTTACACCAAAATTGTAACATATTTGCGTGAATCACATATGGATCTAAATAGAAAAAAAAATAATTCTCTTTCTCCTGACTATAATATCAACCCCCATCTCTTTACTTTTAATCAGTGTTCGCAAAAAAACGGTACACTATCGTAGTGTACCGTACCAGGAACACAAACACTAAAAAATTTTTAGCGTTAGTGTTCCGGTACACAAACATTAAAAAATATTTTAGTGTTACTGTTCCGGAGCACAACGAAATTCGTAGTGTACCGCGGTCGGAGCACTAAAAATCGTAGTGTACCGCTGTCGGAACACTAAAAAACCGTAGTGTACCGCGGTCGGAACACTAAAAATCGTAGTGTTCCACTGGCCGGAACACTAAAAATCGTAGTGTTCCATTTGGCGGAACACTAAAAATCGTAGTGTTCCATTTATCGGAACACAAAAAGATGTATTAATTATATTTTATTTTTTGTATGAATACAATTTATATATTTTTTTAATAGATTTAATAAATAGAAAACTTGTTAAATTTGTATTTGTTTATATTTTATTAAAAATTAGTAATATTTTATTAGTTTAAAATAATAAATATTTTATAACTAAAAAAGGTCGTCGAGTGAAAATTCAATCTGATGCCAACTCGCAACTGAAAATACCATTGGATTACATTTTCGCTGATAATCGATTGCGCTGATCGGAAAAATGTATTGCATAAGACTACCTGTGCAAAAATCATAAAGAATATGTGGTTTTGTAAGATTTATCCCAAAATTTAATGAATAAGCAGGTAATAATTATGTTGATTGTGTGACAATCACCAAATTTTGAATATTTTTGCTAAAATTTCCTAAAAGTATGAATCATAGATGGATGCAGGTATAATTGTTTTAAGAAAAAAATTTTCGTACTAGCATTTTACAAGGAGATCTCCCAATATTATGGATAATATGTTCGTTGTGTAAATTAATGAAAATGTTATCCTAAGCTGTATAATTTTGTCACAAAAACTGGCCAAAATACCTATTTCAAATGGACATTTTCACTTTTTTAATTGCAAGTAAACTTATATTCAGTATTATTTTTTTTTATTATTTGATCTCATTTTACCTCAAAAAAAAAAAAAAAAAAACAGACGTGGAACGCTACGATTTGTATTGTTCCGACCAGTGGAACACTAAGATTTATAGTGTTCCGATAAGCGGAACACTAACATTTTTAGTGTTCCGTCCAGAGGAACACAACGATTTTTAATGTACCGCAGTCGGTACACTAAGATTTTTAGTGTACCGCTGTCGGTACACTACGATTTTTTAGTGTACCGCAGCAGGTACGCTAAGATTTTCGTTGTGCTCCGGAACAGTAACGCTAAAAATATTTTTAGTGTTTGTGTACCGGTACAGTACGTTATTTTAGTGTACCTATCCACCTTGGTACGGTACAGAACACTATGGAACGGTACCATAATGTTTATTTTCGAACGCTGCTTTTAATTAATGTTTTCCATTTTTCCTGGAAATATTGTTGTTTTCAATACATTTTTATATTTCCT